GCTAGCTTGCAGTGCTTGTCCTAACCCGTTGTGCCACCAGGAAGAGCCCAGGGCTATGTTATAAGAGTCTTTATTTCTCCTACTTGTACTCAGTAAGTTTACCATAACAAGTTTGCAACTTTCTCAGCACTTGTTTAACTGCCTACTACAGTCTTGCCACCCTCACTGAGCAGATGACATTAAGGATATATGAATAGGTTTGATGCACTGGACATAATTTATTGCTAAGAGAATGTCTTGCTTCATCGCAAACTTTTGTCTTCTGTGTTGATTAAATGGAGTATTTTTAATTAATTAGGTAGCTTTTGTTTTTAATTTGGTCAAATCTAAAGGTATATTTAATACTACAGTATAGCTAAGGGAAAAACTAAAATATAAAACCATGTTAAGTTCTACTGTACAGGATACAGTAGTATCTCATTCTAACTATTTTTTAGATAGATTTGGAAATAATGCTCTTTTTTTAATTCATTTATGCATATAAGAACTAGGGTGGTAGCCCAGACGTGTGTGGGGGGCGGGTTGCATAAGAGGATTCACAAGAGACAGTGGGGAGCAGAACTGGCAGATCTACTAAAATACACTGCTGAGGGGAGCAGCGGGTAAGACAGGAGCGGTCTGCAGCACTATGTGGGTCAGTTTTTTGGACTGGAATCGAACTTGTGCTGCAGTGGCTACAGTTAGCTTCACAGTGCTGCATTTTAACCCACTGCAAAATGCCTTAAAAGTGGTTCTCTAAAATTTCCTTTGGCAAAATGTTTAAGCTTTATTTTCTTTTAAAAATTGCTGATCTGGAATATATGATATGTCATTAAGTCAGAAGATTTTATTAGTATTTATAATTAGCAAAGAAATTTTGTTTTATCAGCATAATGAGCAGTAGTGTTAATCTTTTTGTTTTTCTCAGCTTTTTAAAGATGATATCAGATACCTGTTGACAATGGACAAACTGTGGCGGAAAAGGAAACCTCCAGTTCCATTGGATTGGGCGGAAGTGCAAAGTCAAGGTAAGATGTTTCTGAAAATGTGTATGTTCATGTGAGGCCCACCACCAGGAGATCCGTTTAGCCTTTGGAGTAACAGTATTGGAAATTCACCTCAGTCTTTATCTAGCCCTGTTATTTCTTGACAAGGGTATGTATTAATGATAAGAAACCCAAACAGCAGCAGCCTCCTGCCCACCCGCGTCCGTGCTGGCGCTTTTCTTCCTTGACCTTTTCTGTGAAGCAGCAGAAGAGGCTCTCTTCCCCCGGCTGCCCACTGTGATCATATATAGGCCTCTTCTGGCAAACCTGCCCACTGTAGGGGAGCTCTTTCTGCCTGCTTGCTCATGTCTGTGCAAGTGTCCTTTATTCATCTCCCCTTTTTATAATAAACCTGCCTTTTTGGATACGAGAAAACAAAATTTAAATAGTTCTGAAAGTATAAAAATGGAAATCTGTTTAGTGAAATAACTGTTTTAGAGAATACTTTGGTAGTTAACTCAGTGCTCAGAGACACAGGCAGATAGCTCACCTTTTTTTTTTTTTGTTTTGTTTTGTTTTAAGATTTATTTATTTATGCACAGAACGGGGGTGTAGGCCAGCAGTGTAGGGGCCGTGAGAGGATTCACCAGAGACAGTGGGGAGCAGAGCAGGCAGATTGACTGAGGGGAGCAGCAGGTGAGACAGGAGAGGTCTGCTGTGCCATGTGGGTGAGATCCCTGGCCAGGGCAGCTCTGTGCTGCAGTGGCTATGCTAGCTTCTAAGTGCTTTGCTTTGATTTAACGATTGGGCCACCAGGTAGAGCCCAAGATTGTTCACTTTGTATACATGATTGAGATATATAGACACACATGTATATATTTACTCTTTCAGTCAGTATTCACCCAGTACCTTTTCAGTTAGTATTTAGTTGGTTGATATTTTCTGTGAAATAAAGATGCTGGTGAGTTATCTCTAAGATTTAGTTTAGGTTCATATTTACAATTTTTGGTGTGGAAAAGACTTAAGTGACTCTTACTTTGCCGTAGTCTCCATAGTATATTTGAGTTATATGAAACGTGCACAGTCGTCCACAAGGTGCGTTAAGGGCTGCTGGAGACTTGGACTACTGATGGGGAACACATCACTGCATTATGGGCACTTGACTTGATCTCTCAGGTATTGCTCTGCCGTGCCCACTGGCTGAGCTGCCTTCTGGGTACAGTGTTTACCTTGTCTTTAGTGCTGTATCCTTGAGTGCCCCAATAACTTCATTATCCCGACAGAGTTTTTCATGTCCATATGAGCAGTTTTCTTACGCATGTACTTGTGTCGTAATGGTTGTTATTTTAATGGAAATTATTTCATATTCTTACTGGTCAGGCATTGAATTATTAACAAAAGAGATTAGCGAGATGATATTTAAAAGTGGAATTTCTCATACTTTTTCCTTTAGGAGAAGAAACCAATGCATCAGATCAACAAAATGAACCTCAGTTAGGTCTGAAAGACCAGCAGGTTCTGGATGTAAAGAGCTATGCACGGCTGTTTTCAAAGAGCATTGAGACTTTAAGAGTTAATTTAGCCGAAAAAGGGGACGGAGCTGAGCTCATATGGGACAAGGTTTGTTTCCAAAATGTGTGACATTTTTTATATTACGTATATTTTAGTTCTTGGACTGTAACAGAAGCTTCCAACTTTGGGATATTCTGTAAAAGTTTATTCTGTCAGATTTTGAGAACATAATTTTTGTATGTTTTCATTGTTTGAGTATGCTTTCATTTCTTATTACTATATTAAATAATGAATTTTCTATGCATGAATTCAAACAATATCTCAAAATTATTTTAGATTTTAGTAATGTGTTTATAGTTTACAATTATGTTGACTAGAGAAATAACATGAATTTATTATTTATTTTAAAGATTTATTTATACATGCAAGAACTGGTGGTCAGGCCAGAGGTGTAGGCAGGGCATGAGAGGACTCACCAGACACAGTGCATAGCAGAGCAGGGGATCTACTGAAATACACTGCTGAGGGGAGCAGCGGGTGAGACAGGAGAGGTCTGCTGTGCCGTATGGGTCAGCTCCCTGGCCAGGGATCGAACTTGTGGTGCAGTGGCCACGGAGAGCTTCATAGTGCTGTGTTTTAACCTGTTGCGCCACCAGGGAGGGCCCTATAATATGAATTTGTTGGCATAAAATGTTTCACTGACTTAGTGCATGTGTAATAGAGATTTGCTAATAGCAGTGTTAAAATCCCTGTGGAGATAAATCATGGACCTAGTTTGACCTTGAAGACAGTAAAGCTGTCTTTTTTTTGAAATGTAGTTATAATTGTTAGAGATGAAAGACATCAGTATAGGAATTCTGCATATTCTTACAAAGTTAGATAGTATTTGGTAGAGTTTTTCATTGTCATTTGAAGGTTTGGTGAGTTTATTTTTAATTGCAGTCTTTGCTATCTGTGGCTGTAAGTGATTTGATAGTTTGTATGTTCCTAGAATGGCGAAGATTTGCCTTGAATTTAAGGGGAAAAATTGATCCATTTGAGAAGACTAAGCACCGTAGTTGAATCAGACATCTGAAATAAAGCGAGTGAATTTATTTCTGGGATTCTTACAAACATTAGTCTCTTGGGTTTATGTGGTATAAGAAGTAACCACATCTTTTTAGAAAAATATTTCTTTGTTGATGTTAGAGTAGTCTCTTGGGAGGTTTTTTTGCCCAAGCTCAAACTATATCATGAAATTTTGGAGCTTGGGGTTGTTATTCCCATGTGTTAAACCTGGACCTGGCTTGATAAGTTGCCATGGGTAATATGTGATTGACATCGTGTTAGGTGCTGTTCGATACTCAGTGTGCACCACAATCTTACGGCATGCTTACATAATTTTCCCTGTTCGACAGTTTGAGGAATTTTAGGTGAAGGAAGTTGATTTGCCTGAGATTACAAAGCCAGCTATAAAGAGTATAAAGAAGCCACCACTTACCAGTACCTTTTCCTCTTTGATACTTCTGAATTTCAGGCTAGGTAGTGTCTTCAACTTTATTGAAATCCAGTTGAAGAGACTAGAAAATAGTCATAGGAGGAATGTAAATTGTAAAGAAAAAACATTCTGTACTTTATTGTGCTGTATCTGCTAAGAGTGGTATGTGAAGGAAGTTGGAAGAGGGAAGCTAAAAGGTCCATGCGTTTCTGAGGCTTGCATGAAATGGCTTTTCCAAGACCGACTTCCCATTTCCTTGCCCGGGTTCTGTGCTGGGCAGCCTTCTCCACGCTGACCTCGGACCTGGGAAAGTATCATGGTCAGCAAGGAGTGGAGTTAGTGTCTTTACGTGTGGGCTCCAGTAGCTCGTGTAGGCTCCAGTAGCTCTTGGCGTTTGGGTCAGGCTGTACTCCCGGGTCAGAGCAGCTGGTGATGGCACCCTGCCCTGCATTTGTCTGATTTCCTGGTTAAGTCAGGGCCGGTGCGCATCTCTCCCTCAGCCAGCCAGCTCTTTTCCTGTTGACTCGCTAATACTAGTCAAGGTAGTATGTTACGGGAGGCTTTGTAAAGGGCTTGGATTGTGTCTCCTCTGGCAGGATGACCCATCTGCAATGGATTTTGTCACCTCTGCTGCAAACCTCAGGATGCATATCTTCAGCATGAATATGAAGAGCAGATTTGATATAAAATGTAAGTTTACTTGTGATGAAGTGATTATCATCTAAAATTCTAAGTTAATTTTTATTTTCAACAGCTAAACATTCATCTTTTTTTTCCCCCAGCAATGGCAGGAAACATTATTCCTGCTATTGCTACTACTAATGCAGTGATTGCTGGGTTGATAGTATTGGAAGGATTGAAGATTTTATCAGGAAAAATAGACCAGTGTAGAACAGTGAGTATTTCTATTTGCATTTTCATCCAGTCTCTCTCTTTTTTTTATTAAATATTATTTTTGAAAGCACATTTTGGTCTAATGCAGCAGAAATATAGTTGTTGCAGTTACCCTGTTGAACACATGTTTATCGAGGTTTCCTGGAGATTACCACAGAGAGGAAGGCTTGCCTCTTATTTTCGTCTAAGGTGAAAGTAGAAACTAGTTTGCTTCTAACATTTCCAGTTCTGCTGGAACTGTGTGGGTGCTTCATATTAAGTGTTTTTAGTTGCTTTTCAATTTTACGTTTTTTGTAGTTTTGAAAATTTGGTCATTTTATAGCCCCCCTTTTATTTTAAATCTATTTATATTCATTGATAATGTCTGAAATCTTTTATGGTAAGTCTGCTGTCATTTCTGCTAGCTCTCATGGCATTTTGTTTGTGTGGCATATGATTTCTAGTGTTGAGCTACATAAATATTCAGACAGCAAGTCTGCATGAACCCTCTCTTGATGTCGTGGATAATAGAGGAACATATCCTCCCCCGCAACCCCCAAGCACATGGGTCAGGATACTTTTTCTTGCTGTTTCTGTGGAGGAAATATTTTTCTCTTTATTCATTCCCCTTATCACCCAGGTCCTTGCTTGTGTACCATCTCCCGTGAGAGTTCAGTTCCCACTTCAGTGAGGGATGGGCTGGGTGTGTCCCTTAGCGCTATCTGTAACCATGTATCTTTCATTCTGTATTGCATTTCTGTGTCTGATGAGCCTTTGCTTTCTTTTCTTTTTTTTTTTTTTTAACTATTACAAAAGTTTATTTTTACATCATTTTGCACATTTTTTTTCCATCTCGATTGTGCCTTTGCTTTCTTAACCAACCTAGCAATTTAAAAATTCCTTTCAAATATTGTAGCCAATAATTTTGCTATTGTTTAGGTTCTCCTTTTTAATGATGCTAAAACAAAAGAGCAAGTTTACCTTCAGAAATTTCCAAAACTTAATCAAATACGAGGAGCTCTCGTCTTCAGTGTTACTGGTGCACTCTTAGAGCACTCTCTTGCTTTCATGGAATTTCAGGGAGAGGGATGTAGACTCACTGCCAGTCTGCCATCTTGATTCAGCTTTCTATTTACATTTTTATTTTAGCTGTCATTTCTTGCATTTCTAAGAACCTTAACTTTTAAAAAATCCCTCCCTGAACAACTCGTATGGCTTACACTGACTGCTCACTGTTAACATTTATTAAAAGGGCTTCTGTTCCCTGTAACAGTCTTCTTACTTCTTTTCCTGCTCAGCCCTGTCTCTCTGACTAATGACATTTACAGGTCTGAATTACATTTGTTACACGTTTATAAATTAGTATTAGCCCTTGTGGTAGCAAATTTTCACTCAAAGTACAAGTGCCTTCCCAGTGACAGCTCAGCTCAAACGGCTCTGTCCAGCTTCGTGCGCTGCTTCCAGCCCTGCGGCGTGGTTGAGGCCATAGGAGGCCTCTTGTGGCTCTCACTGCTGCGTGAGGGGTTTCGTTTTTAAGCTTAGGAGAGCCCTTGGGGCTCCTGGGAATGAATCCATCTCAGCAGATGCTGACTGCGCAGCAGTGCTCGCCTGCATGTCCCCAGTGCCCCGACGATGTTTGCATGAGCTCTGCTACTGTTCTCCTTCCTTTGCAGTAGAATGCACTTGGGACCTTTTTAAATTGTGTGGAATCTAAAAAAATTTTGGGGTTCTTTTTTAGTTTGCTTGTATACTGGGAAAAGAAACTGGTGCATATTATGCCACAAGTATGTGATTTCTGCTCTCCCCAAATTCTATAAATCTTAATATCACAGTCATTAGAAAATTGGGAAAGAAAGCTTCCATATTCTGCAGATGTATTATAATTAATTGGTGGAATTAGTGTGTTGATTCTGTTGAGAATTTAGCTTAAATTTAATAGGGATAACCACTGAGTAGAGACCCCAAAGCTGGTTTCATGATAATAGCAGTGACGAGCATAGCTGGACTTAGTCTTTTTAAATGGGTTTGAAGGCTGGTAGATCTAATAAGTTCAGCCTTTTACACGATAGCTCTTTTCAAAAGAAACTTGGAAAATCAGGCTCCTAAGAAGGTGATGGCTCTTCTTCCTTTTTAAAATCTATATTTATTTGGTTCCTTTCCTCTTGCCTTTTCCACAGGTGGTGATTTTTCTTCTCTTTTTTTTTACCATCTAGAAAGGAATATTTAAGTTAGCTTTTACTGGCTATGCGAGATGGTTTGCTTCAGGTTACGTATATACAATTACAACTCAAATCTTCTTTCTGCTTGTGTTGTTTTCCTTCCCTCAAAGATTTTTTTGAATAAACAACCAAACCCCAGGAAGAAACTTCTTGTGCCTTGTGCACTGGACCCTCCTAACCCTAACTGCTACGTGTGTGCCAGCAAGCCAGAGGTGACTGTGCGGATGAACGTCCATAAAGTGACTGTTCTCACTTTGCAAGATAAGGTAAGTGTCGGGGCTGGTTCTCTTCCAGTGGTGGTAGGTTTCTGTCAGATAAACAAAATCCCAAGTTCCCTTTTGCCTTCTATAGTAATAAACTAAAAGCCAGATACTCAGCCTGAAAAGCTGACTTCTGGAGTGTGTTGCTGGTGGTACCCTTGGTGGCTTTACTTGTGGCTTCTCGGTCTGTGGCTCCAGAGTCTGTGCGTCACGGCCCAGGGAGAAGCAGGTGTTCTTGGCTGGGATAAACACCACCGGTGGTACAGAGGGCCTGGGCTTCTTGGCAAAGGGGCTGTTGTTTCCCAGATGGTCCTGTGTTTTCTGTAAGACAGGAAGTGCCCATCAGTGGTCTGTGGTGGCCCTGATGCTGGTGTGCTCGTCCCATGGGAGACGAGGCAGGTGCCCGCCCACCCACGCTGTGCGCCGGCCCTCTGGCTTGATCGTCGAAGCTGGCTGGGAGTTGGAAAGGTGACCGCCTGGGTGCCACTATCCACTTTGGGACCATTTCAGGTTGCTTGTGGCTGTGTCCATCGTGGTGTGCCTGTACATGCCCCGTCGTGTGTGGAGGAGGTGCCGGCCTGTCGCGGTGGGAAGGCTGCAGAGCGCGGCTGGCCTTTCCCCAGCGCTGCGCACGCAGAGCCAGGGGGGCGCAGCTTTCGCGTTGGCCGGGGAAGCAGCATGGTGGTTGCTTCGCTGTTAGAAAAGTCAGAGCTGTTCCCTGTTGCCTTCATTCTGTGTAGGGTAATTGGGACCTTTAGGGGTAGTCCTGTTTTTGTTGTTTAGGGAGGAGGTAGGAATAGCAAGTTTTGTTTCTGAGATTTATTTATTTGTGCATACAAGAGTAAGAGTTTGAGTGCAGGTTAGTGCTGCTCTAGGGCATTGCTGCTTTTTTTTTTTTTTTTTTTTTTTAAGCAGCAGCATGTCTTTATTGTGTCACCACTTGAGTCTCTCTGAATTTTTTTTTTTTTTAGATTTATTTATTTATGTATACAGAACTGGGGTGCAGGCCAGGGGTACAGGGGTGAGAGGATTCACCAGAAAGAGCGTGGGGAGCAGAACAGGCAGGTCCATTGAAATCCACTTCTGAGGAGAGCAGCAGGGAGACAGGAGCGGTCTGCTGTGCTATGTGGGTCACTTCCCTGGTAGGGGGTAGAATTTGTGTTGCAGTGACTGTGGACAGCTTCATAGTGCTGAGACTTAGCCCTTTGCACCACCAGGGAGGCCCCAGAATCTTGATCCATGTTGGAATTCACACAGACATGGAGATTATTGAAAGGTTGATGAGAAGTTCTCTGTATAGCCTCTGCCAGGCAGGGTTTGCGTGAATAAAGTACGTCCCAGAGTCTTGCTGTACCTCATCTGCACGGAAAGACAAACACTGAGCGCCAGTCCAGGAGAGCCCATTGAAGAAATTTTCTCTGCTCTTCATTGGTGGTCAGATCTGGGGGGTGGCAGGTGGGCGTGAGGTGATTGGTCTTCTGCCTGCTGTAAGGTATCTTCAAGAACAGTTAGCCCCTATCCAGTACAGGGGAAAGTAAAAGCCATTGTGAATAATTGTGTACATTCTATGTAATATTTATGTGCTTTAATCTTTTTTTTTCTTGCAGATAGTGAAAGAAAAATTTGCTATGGTAGCACCAGATGTCCAAATTGAAGATGGAAAAGGAACAATCCTAATATCTTCAGAGGAGGGAGAGACAGAAGGTTGTACCATTGCGTCTATTCGCTCCCCTTATTAGGGCAGAAGCTGCTGGAATGGAGGAGTACACATGGGTGTGTTGCCTCCTCTGTGTGTTAACTCAGAGTCACAACTGAAAGGGGCAGAATTTGGTCATGGAGAAGCTCCCCGTGGTGGTGGGACCTTGTTGGGGTCACCACAGTTCCAGACCTGGGAGTACCATGTCGTTGTCGTGCTCAGTGATCCCAAGTACAGTTAGTTTGCAGTGATCAGTGTCCCTGTTCACCTCCCTGTGTTAGTACATGAGAAAGTGCTAGTGCTCTCGCTCTTGGCTCATAGTGGGAAGAGAACTGTAGGGCTGTTAGATGTTTAGTCAGGGGAGGAGCCTGGGTAGCTTTGCTCCAGCCACAGAACAGAAAGTCTGCCCAAGTCAGCACCCAGTTTGGCCCGCTCGCACTGCCCTCTAAAGACTGTCCTTTTTGCAATGCACAGTGCGTTTGATTGTCCCAAGCCACCTTGGAGAGAAGGTGCCTTGTGGTTTCGCCTCTTTGACTTCTCTGATCTGGTTGGATTGGATGGTCCCACCTTTCTGACCTGTTGGCAGCTCATCTCTTAGGTTGCTGTAGTAGCTGATTCTCTGTAGCCCAGACTTTGCCAGTGTTCCTTTGTTGGCCCTCTCTTTTCACCCATTTGTTCACTAGTCAATTGTTTGCTACATTCTACTAGGTCTTGATGGGGGTTTAAACATCAAGCCTCTTCAAAATTAAAACTTAGTGTGAGGATTCTTGCCTGACGCTTGGCAAGAAATTGTTCCGGGTATTGGATCACGAGCAGGTGGAAGCCAGACTCCTGGGCAGGAGTCTACTTCAGCGTCGAAGCCTCAGTGTAGCCATCTGTCTCAACACGCAGCCCTCCTGGGCTGGCTTTCTCTTTCAAAAGCGAGGCCTTTAAAGTGGGAATTGGCTCAAGAATATCAGTGACTGAAATGTGTCCCTTCTCCACAAAACGGATGTGCTACTCAGGGTGACGGCAGTTACCCAGTACATAGGTACCCACCACTCAAAGTGAATAGCCAGTCTCTCGCTTAAAGTACCTTGCAGCCTTTAAGGGGAGGAGAAATGGTCACCAATTTAGCTGACAGCAGTTAGACTTGGTGCTGTATAGTACATGGTGTGAGTTGAAGCTTTGAGAAGAGACGTGTCGGGGCTTACAGGGGGCGGCTGCCTGGGTTGGTTCCTGAAGTAAGGCCTCTGAGCAGGCACAGGAGTGCCTGCGTCTGCCAGCGCGAGCAGCTCGCAAAGACGTGACGTTGCAGCAGGGTGGGAGAGTTTCGAGGATGGCTGGCTTGGTTTCCCTGCAAGTTTCGGTGCTGTGGAGTTGGCGGGGTTGGGGTGGGGGCACAGTTCAGCTTCTAGCACAATTAACCTTTTTACCAACAAACGTGTCTGTCCTACGGAGATAGAACTGATGTACCAAAATCCTCTTTAACTTTCCTAGCTAATAATCACAAGAAGTTGTCAGAATTTGGAATTAGAAATGGGAGCCGGCTCCAAGCGGATGATTTTCTTCAGGACTACACTTTACTGATAAACATCCTTCATAGGTAGGAAATATTAAGGAACTGCTGAATATTTAATCTCAGATAATTTAAGGTTTAAATTTGAATATGCAAACTTAAGGTAAAAGTGTAGAGAAAGTGTTTTATAACTCAAAACTCACCTGTTTGTTTGAAAACTGCACAGTGTGATGCTCAAGTTGGCCACTGAGTACTCTGAGGTTTGACCTAGGGGAAATTTGTGGAATTCAAAAGTGAAATGGATAAAATGAGTGACTAACTGTAACTCAGGAAAATAATGGTAAGAAATAATAGTAACATTGGTAAGAAATCTAGACATTTTTTAATAGTTTTAAATCAAAGATGAGTTCGTTTTGATAACTGAACTTATTAAAATAAAAATTTTGGTTATCTTTAAAGGTTCATTAGAAGAAAGGAAGAAATATTTCTTTTGTGATCTGTTACAACAAGAGAATATTAAAAATCAAAACTTTTCCTGTTAGATTCTGGAGTCATATTTTTTAATTTAGTTTTTGACTTAATATTTTTTATTTTATGCCCTGCCCACTTCGTAAGTAGCATTCTGTGCTTCATTGCAGAATTGCGGACTTTGTTTATATATGCGGTGGCACAGGTGAACGATGATGGGCCTCCACTGGTGTTTGGGACCCCTAAATTGCACCCTAACTTAGGAATTTGAGGTAGCCACTTGTGTCCAGTCCTTTGTCAGTATTGATATCTCTAAACATAGTGTCATTGTTTGAGAGTAATACATTTTATAGTTGGTTTATAAAAAAAAAGAAAATGAGGTCCTCCCTGGTGGCGCAGCGGGTTAAAGCACAGCACTGAGAAGCTAAAGCCACTTCCGCATGAGTTCGATTTCCGCCTGCCCCGGAGGTGACCACATGGCACGGCAGACCTCTCCTGACCCGCCCGCTGCTCCCCTCAGCAGTGCACTTCATCGATCTGCCTGTTCTGCTCCCCGCTCTGTCTCTGGTGAATCCTCTCACCCTCCACATCTCTGGCCTGTACCCCAGTTATGTATGAATAAATCAATAAATCTTTTAAAAAATAATAATAAAAAAAAATGAGAGACCCTCCCTGGTGGCACAGCGGTTTAACAGCGCTGCAAGCTAGCTACAGCCGCCTCAGTGCAAGTTCAATCCCCCCACTCAGGAGCTGACCCACATGGCGCGGCAGACCTCCCCTGACCCGCCTGCTGCTCCCCTCTGCAGTGTGCTTCATCAGTCTGCCTGTTCTGTTCCCCACTCTGTCTCTGGCCTGCACCCCAGTTCTGTATGAATAAATAATCTTTTTAAAAAAAAAAAAAATAGAAAATGATACAGGACCGGATATGGGTTATTTGTATAAAGCATAAGTTACATAAAGTACAGTTGAGTTAGGAATAAATATCTCTCGGGAGTCTCTCTTAGTTGACCAGTTGGCTGGCAGTGATATGCTTGTGTTCATTTTTGAAAGAAGAGAATGAGCAGGTAATGTGTAATAAAATGGAAATAGGTGGTGTTTGAAAGAGGAGACATGGGTTTTTCATTATTTTTTAGTTCTCTGGAAATAAACCCCCTGTTTTATAAAAGGAGGTCTTTTATTTGACTTTAATGCCCAGTAAATTCTTGTGCATATTTTGGAGGATCTTGTTACATAAACAGGGTCCTGCCTTCATAGATGGGAAACGCAGAATCTTTGTGATCCTATCTCTAATGCACAAAATCACTCTGATCAAGATCAAAGTTATGTGTAGAATCTTTGGAGAAACAGCCTGAAAGTTATATTGGACCAGAGCGCTTCGGAATCATTTTTCTACTTAACAGTGAAATTAAGCACCCCCTGGCGCCCATCTTCCCACCCACCCCCACCCCCCTTTTTTTTTTTTTCTTACCAAAACCTTTTTGGGTACATTCTTGGTTTTTATTTTAGCTCTCTGAGGCTTGGAGTCCAAATACTTCGTGTGTACACTTTGAGTTTTGGGGAGTAGCTTGTCTCCAGTACCCCTTCACTTAGGTAAATTGTAATGGTAGTCCAGTTTCACCATTTGTGATTCTTTTACAGTGAAGACCTAGCAAAGGATGTTGAATTTGAAGTTGTTGGTGATGCCCCAGAAAAAGTGGGGCCCAAACAAGCTGAAGATGCTCCCAAAAGCATAACCAACGGCAGTGATGATGGAGCTCAGCCGTCCACTTCCACAGGTGAGTCATGGTCCCGGCCAGCACGTCGTCCGTTCCTGCCAGGCGGGGAGCAAGCTGACATGATTCTGGGAGCGCTGGCTGAAACTAACACAGGCCTACATAGTAAGGACTGCTAGAGGTGTTCACGGGGTCAGCATTGGTTGTTTTTTGTTTGTTTTTGTTTTTTAAGATTTACTTATGCATACAGGCCACGGGGCGGGGGTGGGGGCGGTGTGAGAGGGTTCACCAGAGCAGAGTGGGGAGCAGAGCAGGCAAATGGACTGAAATACACCGCTGAGGGGAGCAGTAGACAGGTCAGAAGAGGTCTGCTGCACCCTGTGGGTCAGCTCCCTGGCTGCGGATGGAACTTGTGCTGCAGTGGCTGCAGGGAGCTTCATTGTGCTGCGCTTTAACCCTTGTGCACCAGGGAGGGCCCCAGCATTGGTTGTTTTGTTGTTGTTGTTGTTGTTGTTTTTTTAAAGATTTATTTATTTGTGCACACAGAACTGGGGTACAGGCCAGAGACTCAGGGGCGGTGAGAGGCTTCACCAGAGACAGAGTGGGGAGCAGAACAGGCAGATCGACGAAGTACACTGCTGAGGGGAGCAGCGGGCGGGTCAGGAGAGGTCTGCCACACCATGTGGTCACCTCCGGGGCAGGCGGGAATCGAACTCATGCGGAAGTGGCTTCAGATTCTCCGTGCTGTGCTTTAACCCGCTGCGCCACCAGGGAGGGCCGCATTGGTTGTTTTAATGAAACTAAATGTATGAACCATGAGGACACTTAACACTAGTGAAATTCTTAGAGAAAATTGAAATGCATTGTCCTTTAATGTGTCTTTATAGGTGAAAATGCCAGTGAGTTTACTAGTTCATAAAGACTTCATTTTTGGTTCTGTAGCTGTTTGGGGTTTTGTATGCTTGTTTATTTAGGGGCAACAGATCCATGCACCTGACTGAACAGGTGCTGAGGGAGAGTTCTAGCATTGCACAGGGTTTAGAACCAACAGGACTTTGGTGCAGGGGCCGCTCCCCTGGGTTCTTTCTCTGTGTTTGGTGTTCTGACCTGGTGGGTTACGATGAGCCTGCTCTTCATTCTTTAGTCTAAAAGAATGAGGTGGAATAGAGAATAAATGGAAAGTCCCTGATGTTTTTAACTCTTCTATTTCCATTTCTTTGACCCCATGTCTTTTTAGAACGTGGTGATGCCTGATTCTGATACTCTCCAAGGGCTCTGGGCTGAGTTGCCTCCTCGTGGGCTGTGGGTTAGCACCTTTCTCCCCCTCTGAACGTCGAAAGCTCCATCATCCTTTGACAACAGAACCTGATTTTCAAAAATCATGAACTGAAATGTGTGTTCCCTGTGGCTGGGACTGTGTGGCAGGCTGCCTTCGATTTGATGAGAACGGGGTACAGGAAGCCACCCTTACAGTTAGGGTTCAGAGCATGCAGCGTAGAGCCCCCGTCTGGGTTTGAATCCTGGCTTCATGCTCTGCCGCTTGTGACCTCGGGCAGGTCATTCTCTTCACCTGTGTTCTTTGCTGGAAAATGGATAATGATGTTATCTTCTTTATAGGGTTGTTGTGATGATTAAATGAGTTGTTAAATGCAAAGTGCTCAGAACAGTCCCTGGCACATTGTAAGTGCTACCTGTGTGTGTGTGTGTGTGTGTGTGTGTGTGTGTGTGTGTGTTGTTGTTGTCAATGCTGCTGTTCCCGCCGCAGCCAGCGCCAGGGCGCACGCCCTGCCTTCTGGTGGAGAGATGGAGGCGAGGAACTGCAATAATTCCTCCGAGCTATATAATGCCACAACGTTTTGTTTGGATTAGAAAGAAATAAGTGCTTTTATTTAAAACGTTAAAGAAAATAATGTAGTGTGTAACTTTTCTTAAATTTGGGGTGTATCCACAAAGTAAATTTACACTTGCATACAATATTAGTGAGCCCCTGTAGCTGCCATACTTTTAACCATTTTTTCTTTCTTTTTGTTCTTTTTTGTGACTTAAGCACAAGAGCAAGACGATGTGCTCATAGTTGATTCGGATGAAGAAGGTTCCAATAATGCTGACGTCAGCGAGGAGGAGCGAAGTCGTAAGCGGAAGCTAGATGAGCCGGAAAACATCAGTGCAAAGAGGTCACGCCCAGAGCAAACAGGAGAGCTTGACGATGTGATCGCTTTGGATTGAAGAGAGCGCCTAGACCGGCCCCCGCGTTGGGCCGCCGGACCCCAGGCTGCTTGTTCCGTCCTTTGTTCCAAAGGGAAAAACTACACCAGGGTGTGAAGATAATTTGCTCCCTTTGAACATTCATTTGGCTAGAACTGTTAGAACACGCGGTCTGTTTGGAAGTAGAAATATCTAGTTTACAGCCTCTGAACAAAGGGCGTCACCTCGTGAGATGAAACAACACAGTGCATGTTGCCTTTTAATGTACATACCCTTAGGTATCATTTCATAGTTTTAAAATATTGTGGTTTAGTAAAGTTGATACCTGGTTATAAATATTACGCCTTTATTTTTGGTTAGAAGAAGAATTATTTTTAGCCTAGATCTAACCATTTTCATACTCTTAACTGACTGAAACAGATTCAAAGAAGTATCAAGTGCTATGCATTGAAACTTGTTTTTAAATGTTGACTGGCACTGTGTATATTAATGTAAAACAATGTTAATTTACTCAAGTTTTCAGCTTGTACTGCCTGGTATGTCTGTGTAAGAAGCCAATTTTTGTGTATTGTTACAGTTTCAGGTTATTTATATTTGATGTTTTGTAAGACTCAAATACAGCTATACTGTACTATGGACCAAATAAATGACATCTGCATACTTTATCCTGTCCACTTGCTGCTTCTGTGGCCTTTTACTGGGTTTATAGCTTGAACTTCCTGCAGGCCTGCTCATTTCCTTTTAAGAAATTAATAGAGGCCCTCCTTGGTGGCGCAAAGGGTTAAAGTGCAGCACCAGGAAGCTCTCCGCAGCCCCTTCAGAGTGAGTTCGATCCCCAGCCAGGGAGCTGACCCACAGGGCGCAGCAGACCTCTCCTGTCTCCCCGCTGCTCCCCTCAGCAGTGGATTTCAGTAGATCCCCCTGTCTCTGGTGAATCCTCTCACTCTCTACCCCACACCTCTGGCCTGTACCCCAGTTTTTGTATGCACAAATAAAATTTTTTGAATTAATAGATGGGAAGATTAAAACATCTCCAGTGTTTGCTGTGGGTAAGTTCTATGATGTAGCTTTTAAATTTGATTTGTGAAGGATTTGCTGAGAGCATTTAAGTGCACTTTCCCTAGCCATGGTAACTTGAAGCCTTAGATTTCCCCAGTCTGCTTCATCAGAGTCACTTCAGCTTACAGATGTTGACTGGCCACACAGGACGGAGCAGTGCTTCATCTTCTCTGACCCTGACCTCAGGCAGCCTTGGCTCTGAGGCTACTCACCCAGACGGACCTCGCCTTTTCAAATAACTCAATTGATCATGTCCCCATTCTATACCTTGTCTTTGGTGTGTGGCCAGTCAAATTTCAACTCTGTAATTCTCACTCCGCCGTCCAGCTTGTGGGCTCTCACTTGTTTTGTAGAGTCTAAATATAGCAGGTCATCAAGGCCTTCACAGAAGTGCAGACCAAGCCTTGGCCCTGGAGTGGCCGACTTGCTGCCTCCGGGGCAGACCAACCTCTTGCATTTTGGAAGGTATTTAATTGTCCTCCAGGAACAAGGTTTCAAAATCACACAGCTCTATTTCAACATAAAAAATGAAATATCTTGGAGTACTAGTCAGTAGTTAACAAAAATTCTGAAAACTGCAGAAATTTTATAAAAAATGTATTTTTGCATAAAGGAGCTGGGTATAGGCCTAGGTGTGGAGAGGTGAGAGCATTCACCAGAGATAGTGGGAGCAGGGGGGAGACAGGAGAGGTCTGCTGCGCTCTGGGGGTCACCTCCCTGGCTGGGATTCAGACTCTGCTGCTGTGGCTGCACAGAGCATTGTGTTGCGCTTTAACCCCTGTGCCATCAGGCCCTCTGCAGGAATAAGAATTTTGAAGTTCCGGTCCTTAAGACCCCTTCTGTCTTAGACAATTGCCAGCAATGCGTGTCTGGCGTTTGTGTGCTCTTCGCACTTGGAACATCCATGGCACAAATGCCAGTTTTATCTTAGGTGTGTGTCTTTGGCAGACTGGTTTTGCCCCATGTAGTGCTCAGCACTGCACGTCCTGTTGCAAATCAGCTTGTCATTGCTGCAGGTCTGGTCACAGGGGCCTTGCTCAAGTCCACTCAGCCCCAAACTGCTTCCAGGACTGGACTGTGGTGTGGCCTTACTCAGGGTTTTTCCAGGTACCTCTTTTTGGGGAACAGGGCTGGGATTAGCAAGGGCATTTGCCTGCAGCTCCAGCCCCATGATGGGGGTGTTGACAAACGTCTTCCTGTCTTGGTGGAAGCTGTCTGGCTTTCAGGTTTGCCTAGAGGAGGGTCCACTGCCCAGGGGTCAGCATGCACCCCAGACAGGTACCAGGATCTTGTACCAGGAGAAGATCCAGCAACCTAAACGAGCACCTGGGCCCTTAACAGAGTAGCTCATCAGGTGAAGTCCTCAGCGATGCCAGAACCTTCAGGAAAAGACTGCTGAGGTGCAGGACTCGGGATGAAGGTTCACAGCACCTGTAATTTTTAAATGGCTCGGCAAAATATGTAACGCAGGAAGGAAAATGCCAAAATAGCCTTCACTGAGTCTAGCAAAATGTGTATACACTGTTCGCTGTGTTTGCTGACTCCTGAAGAGTGATGATCGAAGTGGAGGGTGTGTGTGTGGTATGTTTGTTGGGGTGGGGGGGTTTTGATGTCATGTGAGTGTCCACCTGACTTGCTTTACTACACCTAAGTCCCTTGAACAACTTGCACTGTGTACATGGCAAATAGACCACATCTTTTTTTAAAGAATATTTTGTTAAATAGAGAAGATTTTATATCCTCAAGAAGTTCAGGCCAGAGATGTGTGTATGAGAGCATTCACCAGAGACACAGTGGGGAGCAGAACAGGCAGATCTACTATGAGGGGAGCAGCAGGGAGAGTGGGTCCCCTCCCTGGGTGGGGATCGAACTCAGGCCACAGCAGAGATAATGCTGAGACTTAAAACCTCTAGGCCACCAGGGAGGCCCCCCGCTCTTTCATTTTTAGAGATAGATCACTCACCGTATTGGCTGTACCAGTTTACATTCCCACCAACAGTGTAACAGGGTTCCTCTTAACCCACCCGATCTCTAGTGGTTGGGAGAGCTTTGTAATATGTGCCTATGGATCAGCAAAGATACGAGTTGGAATGACAAAGTGTCACGGTCACTGCTGGGTGCAGCATGGATGGTCAGCTCCAGCATCCTTGGTGGTGCCTTAGAATTCTCGGAGCTGAGCCTCCAGTTACTAAGGAGAGAGCCAACCTGCAGGTTATCGGCTTACCCAGCAGCTCCCCAGAACGGGTCTGCTTTCTGAAAGACGCCCCCATTCCTGAAAAGTGTTGATGGCCAGCACTCGAGTCCGAGGTGGACTCGTCCTGTGTCCGAGGGGCACGGATGGGCCTTTTTTTAACTGCAAGCAAAGCTTAGCAAAATAAAGAAACCAGAGAAGAAAAACGTGGGCAGATGTTTCCAGTCACTGACTTCTGCGCATCTTAAAGTAGCGTTCCTGAGGCCCTGAATGTCCTCGACTGTTTTACGGAAGGATATGTTTATACAAGTATTTTTATAGACACTTTCATACTGGGAATACATTACTTGCATTCTGCACACACAGAGAACTTTCTTCCCCCTGCATCGAATTCAAAGTAAATTCCAGCCAGAAGTTTATTTAAGAAATTTTTGAACTACTCCCACTAAATAAAAAAAAAAAAAATCAGCCGAGTTGAGCTATACGGGTTCTGACGTTGCTGTGTACTTCAGTTATATTTTTAAAACCATTGTCTCCTGGGATAGCATTTTCAGGAGTTTTGCTAAATGTCTGATGCATGACAGATTTACGTTTTTTGACATTTTTTGTAAGATTTATTTATGCATACAAGAGCTGTGGTGCAGGCCAGAGGTATGGGGGGGTGAGGGGTTCACCAGAGACAGAGTGGGGAGCAGAACAGGCAGATCCAGTGAAACACACTGCTGAGGGGAGCAGCGGATGAGACAGGAGAAGTCTGCTGCACCATGTGGGTCAGCTCCCTGGCCTGGTATGGAACTCAGGCTATAGAGGTGAAGTGCTGAGACTTAACCCCTAGACCACCAGGGAGGACCCATATTTTTTAATATTCTATCAAATGTTGGCTTACTACACAGGGAAATACTCAGAATAAAAATTTACTGGAACATACACATGATCCAAGAAGGTCTATTTATATTTATTTTCTTTAAAAAGATTTATTTATCTATGCATATAAGAACTGGGGTACAGGCCAGAGGTGCAGAGGTGGTGAGAGGACTCACCAGAGACAGAGTGGGGAGCAGAACAAGCAGATCGACTGAAATACACTGCTGAGGGGAGCAGCCGGCAGGTCAGGAGAGGTCTGCTTGCTCCATGTGGGTCAGCTCCCTGGCCGGGGATCAAACTCACACTCAAGTGGCTGCAGCTAGGTTGCAGTGCTGCACTTTAACCCATTGTGCCACCAGGGAGAGCCCCAAGAAGGTCTCTTCTAACAGTTCCCTTTCATGCTCAGCTCAGCCTTGGATTCAGGCCCTGGACATCCTGTGTCACTTATTCTATAAACGTGTGGCCGGCCGCCCTCGCTGGTCCTGTGCTGTGCGCTTCGGAAACCTTGCCAAAATATCTTTAAAAGCAGTAAGATTCAAAGGGCTGGTGTGTGCCAGAAAGCCAGCTCGTCTGGGCCACAATAGGTGGGATGGGCATTTGGGGACCCCTGTACCCCTTCCTGCCTGGTTGGTCCCAGTGGCTCTGAAGTCAGGACAACCAGCTTCATGCTCCAAAATGCGATAGGAGAAGCCGAGGAATCTGGGCACCCGTCAATAGCTCTTCCCCATGGAGTTGCATGCTGGCTTGGGCTCTGCCCTCAAAGTATCCCACTCCAGAGTGCAGCGTAAGGCTTCAAGGCAAGAAAGAGAAGGTCCACGGTGGCCACTTGCTCCTGGAGCGGGGCACAAGCTGTCACTGTCAGATCCTAACCGGAAGTTTTACATTGGGCTTCCCAACTTCGCAGGGTTTTAGCTCTTTATACTTTGGATCTTCTGTGTCCCGAGAGGTCTGTAGGCGATACCAGGGCCAGAGGAGCTTGGTAGACTCAAATTGGGTTAAAAGAGCTGGTCCGGGCCCTCCCTGGTGGCGCAGGGGGTTAAAGCACAGCACTAAGAAGATTAAGCCACTTCCGCATGAGTTCGATCCCCGCCTACCCCTGAGGTGGCCACATGGCGCGGCAGACCTCTCCTGACCCGCCCGCTGCTCCCCTCAGCAGTGGACTTCATCAATCTGCCTGTCCTGCTCCCCACTATCTCTGGTGAATCCTATCACTGACCCTGCACCTCTGGCCTGTACCCCCAGCTCTGTATGTACAAATAAATAAATCTTAAAAAATAATAATAATAAATAAAAGAGCGGGTCCAAAGGAAAGCAGGGGTGAAAGGTAGCTCAGCACAACTCCTAGGGGACAATCTCCCATTGTATCTTAGACCTTGTCCTTGGGTGCTGCTGCGTGGCGTCTGGGAGAATGTCCCCCAGGGGCTGAGCTGGGAGAGGTTCATGTGGCTTCAAGAGCAATTCCTGCCACTGTCCCCAGGGAAAATTATTTTATATGGGTAGATGGCTGCAGACTGGGGAAGAAAAAGAAATAGGGGTCCTGGCAATTCCTCT